CATACACAGCAAGTCCTTTCTTCAGCACTGTGTCATGTTAAGGGTACGGTCATACCTGGCGATCGCCTTGCATCATTTGCAGTTCGAGTGTGGAGTAGATACGTATCGACCACGCATGACCTACTTCACGATTGAACTGCAAGGCGCTCGCAAAGTATAACCGCATCTAAGGTAGACTCTGCGAGCGATCGCTAGCGAATCGTGCGATTAATCACAAAGTCTGCCATCTGCCTAGCCACCTCAAGAAAAGATATGGATATCTAGAATTTCTTTGCTGTGCGCACCCTTTATGAAATGAAACATCACGCCTACGTTTCACTGATCCTCCCTTATTCATAGAGACATTTAGTCGTATCCCTCTGTACCCCATGTTAGAACTCCCACATCTGTCATCCCTATTTGTCACAGCAGCTGTACGCTTCGAAGAAATCTGCGGCAAACGGGTTTTTATAGTTTGAGGACGAAAAATTTCAAACCCTAACTCGCTTTTTCATTGGAGAAAGAAAATGGCAGAGTTGTTCGGAATTTAGAGCTGCACAGTGAGACAGCATTCAGTTCTGCGTAGAATGTGCGTTTCGAGAAAAATGCGCGCATCGGAACCGCCGTACTAAGACCAGCTCCCCGACGCTGTGCCGATGTTGTCGATGTTGAACTATCGGCATAATTCACTCTAATAGTTGTGCTTCCCAGACTACGGTGGCTCAGCTAATGCCACCATAGAATTAGTTGAAGGGGGAGGGGGAGGGGGGGGGGCAGTTGCCGCCGCCGGGATGTTGGTGCCCTCTAAAGGCACTCGCGATCGGATTGATGTCTTATTTTACCCAAAATTTTAGGCAGGAAGTGGGAAGAGAGGCGCTAGGAGTGATGCAGCAAAAAGCACCATAGAAGAGGGGAATTTTTCTTGTGAGGTGGGAGAGACTCAGCTACGTGAGGAGAGGGAAAACGCGAGAGAGCACGTTGCACGCGGGGTGTGGGGGTGGGGCCAGACACCAAGTATGCTGTGACTGCGACCCGAGTTTTGATGCAAAAGTGAGATTGTGAGCCCACGAGGAGTGTAAAGCCACTCAGAGGAGGGGGGGATAGATTGGATTGACGGCGAGTCAGAACATACCTGAAAGCTGGATTGTTGGGCGTTTTCACTATTTCGCGTGTGAGGCAGCACCACTGCGATGCGGCATTCGCGAGCGAACGCACGTTTCGACCCCAGTTCTGGACCGCCTGCTAAATACTGATGGGGAGGGGCGGGACAATTCTTGTCAGTCCAAGCACTGCGCATTGTATTTCCGCTAGCTACCTTCGAACGTGACAATTGACATCTTCGTGCCTCTATGCTTGATGTATGTATTAGATAGTCCCATAAGTAGTGTGGTTTTTTTTTTCAAACGAAAAATTTTCTTTAAAGTTCTCTGTTTTTATACCATATATTACCGTTCGCAATAGGATTGATCACTATACAAAAAGCTACGATACGCTTTCACACTCGTTGCAGGATTTTGAAATTTTGGGCCTGCAAAGTGGGATCTTTATCTAAAGAGAAATAGCCAAACCGACAACTAACGCGAACATCGATTTGCTCCCTGGAAAAATTAACCAATGCAGAACATTCTGACTGGTCACGACTATTTCTAAACATTCCGCTATTGGGTTTCCCTTCAGGTCTCGTCGGTCCTTTTCCAGATAACTCGACGGTCAAACAGCCTCTCTTTAAAGGCGGCGATTACGATAAAGAGGGAGCGCATCGCGGGAGCACATCACCACACGAAAGCAGTTACTTGGCTGCAGGGGAAGCGATGTGTGGCGCTTTTACGACGAAAGTCGCTGGTTGCTGCAGCCCAGCCGACAAGGTAAACTACATCGCGTCCGCCCCAAAAGCGATTCGCCACTACTTGTTTAAACTTGGCGATTTTGAACGAGCTGCTTTGCGTCACGCAGCAATGTAGCATCTTCGATGTAAGCGCCTGTTTGACCATGATGCCGGACTCACACGTTGAACTGCGTGTAATTACTTCACTCTTTCTTAGCTGTCACCCCGTTCATGGGAGAAACCAACTGCCCCATAGAAGGGGGTCGCCGTTTGTCGTGTCTATGACGATTTCCCGACACTTTTTGTCGCCGACTTGTTGACATACCATTGAGCACCACCACGTCCCTCTAAAACCCTTATTGAACCTATCGTAATCGCTGCCTCTAAGTCCCACCCAAAAATTTTTCAAGCCGATATGCTGAAAAACTAGTGGAATGTTGAGATATAAGTCATGATTGAGTCAGAAATGTATGCCTCGTTGATTTTCTTATCTTCTCAAGGAAAAAAATTTTTCGAAGGTGAGTCATATCTGATTGACCACCCTTTATTGCTCACGCCTAAATTATTGCTCCACCAGTATGATAACAATGCAAATGCGCGAATACGGTAAGAAATGCGCTCTCGAAAAATACATCAGTTGATGTAAAACAACTGTGTTTCAGAGAAAGAGTTTTAGTTTGAAATCGCTATGCCTTGTGGGTCGACCAGAAAAACCAAATTTCGAAAGAAATACACAAAGTTTCCCCAACTTACGTAGCAGACTGTTTAGAAGAGGTCGTGAGTAAGTTGAGAATTTAACGATGGTTTAATCCTCCTAGAGGAAAATAACGATAGGGCTAGTTGTTGGTTCGGCTAATTTTTTTCGACTGCACCACCATTTCGACAGGGCCTGCAGATTAAAACTTCTTGCTTCCTGCGGAGAATCGCGAAAAGGAAAGCGTCCACTTGTAACTTTCGTTGTACAGGCAATTTTCTCTTTTTGCGAACGGCAATATAGTGCGTATATAAAAGCTACTAGGACTTCAGAAAGAATTATTATCCTGTTGAGACAACCGCGATATCTAACGATGATTTGGTGCAACCCAGAAACTCTGCGAAGAACGCGAAAAGGAAGCGAATCGTAGCTTTTTGTTGTGCAGACAATTCTCTTTCGAACGGCATATAGGTTGGTATAAAAACACAGGATTTCAGAAGAATATTTACCGTTTGAACAAAAACGACACTACATATGGGACAACCTATTAGTTTTGTATGCTCTTCCTATGTTATTACTCGAGCGCTTGTTGTTGGCTTAATTGAGTTCAACGGCCACATTTTCCTTCTTGTGTAGAAATGTAGTCATTCAATTAATTCATTTTCACACAAATGTGAATCCTTTACCTTGGTTATATCAACAAAAAATTTCAGAGAGACATGGAGAAATCATAAAACAAAAAGAGCAAGTTGACATTACGAACCTCAACTTCAGTACTGATGATGAGAATACAGTCGTCCCAGCTCATGAGGGTACGTTTCTGCCAATTTTCCAATCATAATTGATTACAGAGTTGACTTTTCTCGAAAAACTGAGGCGGGGCCTTTTCCAATAGAAAGGGTGTGGAGTTTAAAACTTCGTGGCCCACAGTAACTTCATAAAAGAGAAGGAAGCTCCGCGGTGGGCGTAAAAACAGAATAGGAAAAGTTTTACACGACTCGTTTGGTGCAGGTGGCGCGAGCTTCCGCATCACATGCCCTCCCTCTTGCTCAAAAGAGGACTCCACGATAAGAACGGTCGAAGATGGGAAATTTACCTAGTGGAGAGACAGGCGGACCCTCTAAGGGTGCGGACCAACACGCAATTCGCATCGAAGGATATGCCCCGGCGATCTGGCATGGCCTTCCCTTTGGCGCAGTTGGCCCGGAACGCCCACCGACATAGCAGAGAGAGCGTTAGCGTTGAAGAGGGCACGATGAGAGTCGCATCAATGCGAAATCAACGGGCAAGGAAGGGGTCCCATTTCTCGGGTTCCGGCCTGTTTCACATGGTTTCTTCTTCAGTGCTACCTCACTGACCACCTCTACCCTTATTTCCTAAGGGGAGGGTAAGGGTAGGAGTAGGGGAGGAACTTTCCAGTCGCGATAACAATCGTCATATTCGAAGACTAGATCTTTGTTCGAATTCTTAGGCGTAACATCGAAGTGTGAAGGACGTCTGGAATTCCAAACACTGCCTGTTGGCAGTCTTCCACCTCTAAACGTCACCAACGATGTTCCTGCACGAACTCCTGCAGATTGCGCTAAGAAATGCTTCGAAGCGGTAGGTTTTCAAAGAATTTCATATCCAACCTTGTATATATTACATTTTTATATTTGTGTACGTATTTTATAAACACTCCTTGTGCTTTTAAAAACATATTCATTTCGACTATTGTGATCGCATTTTGGTTGTTTTTTTCGCTCTTATCGTGAACAATAGGCATGAAGCCAGTGATTCGTGGGTGAGATGGAATCGTGACATTTCCGGGTACGATTCCCTCCCTCTAACAACTTTACTAGCGATCCTGCTCAACCCCATATTGGAATGCAGCCAGCTTAAAGGATAAAGGATTAAGCATTCGCCGTTGATCAGTCCCTTTTCGATGCGCAACGCATTCTACTTCTTACATTCGCCGTGGCGTTTGACAAGTCAGTGTTTTTATCCTCCCAGACAAGTCTGGTACCAATTAACCGACCCCGGAGGGATGGAAGGCTTGGTTGGCCCGGGCGACTCACGACCCAGGATTTGATCCCCGGACCGCTCGCGTGGTAAGCGCGCCACTTGTCACTACACAACCACTTCCGCGCACAGCCAGCCTTAGGTGTAGTAAAATGTTGCTTCACAGTGTATCCAATGCTCATATTGGGCCCACTCCAACACGTATTCCGAGCAAGATACTAAGTATAATGGCGCGTCCATTAAAGTGACCAATCAAGCGAAAAAAGCTACTACACACAAACCCTTGAAATCCCCTTGCCGCGCATCGCTGGGAGGAGACCCTTTCGCCTACCATGTCTTCAAAAAATTGACTCTTCTCTTTACCTGTTTTCACCGTATCACTACACAGAACGTTCCAGTAATAAGACTCCCCTGGGGCGGGTGCCTTCGCCCTACAAGCCGCGCGCTATGTGGATCTGAGCCTTCTTAGCAATTTTGCTTTCCTCCATTGCTGGTAGCCATCAGAAATATGTTCCTTTCAAGTGGAATTACCACTAGCTTATTACCTGTGGTATGTGCCTTCAACGACAGCTTACTGCTGTACCATCCGCAGGCGCTTCCACCGGGGTGACCGAGAAAAAGAACAGCTCGCATGTGTAGATAAATATTGTGATCTCGGACTTTGTGAATCACTTTTTATTCATTTGTGTCCTTTCCAGTTCAATATTCTTGATGATGTATTACAGTTTTTATTTGTTTACATTACAGTTATATTTACTTATCAATCGCGCGACACATAATAGTGACACTTTACAGAGTGGATGTTCTCTCGCTGGTTTCATTGGTAGCCCCTCCGGGAACATCTCACATGGCGTTTGCCTGCTGACTTCTGATGGAAGTGTATGCGGAAACAATGCCGACTACGTTCCTCAACACGCTGCCTTGAATCCCTTCGTTATTTCATGCATCAAATGCAGTTGTGAGTCACTCGTGGTCACTGTAAATTACTGTAATTTATCCTCATGATTCCAGCGTGTACGTATAACATTCAAAATGTGACACCGGATCGTGTACTGCCAGACTTCAATAACGTCGAGAGCGTGTCCTCGATAGGCGAGTGCGCTCGAGCTTGCTACGCAAGGCGGTGTACCATGGCACAATACAATAGCCAACAACATTTGGTGAGTTTTCTCAATGTTAGCTTCAGTGATATTTTTCAGATCATCCAGATGAACTGGAGCACGGGTAGGGTAAAGGGATGGCAGGGAAAAGCTACAAATCACCGATGCGAGTAAGGGATTGAAACAAGGAAAGGGTGGGCAATAGCCAGCATACGACGCCGTTGTGCTCCATTGGCGATGAAGACGTACTTTGCCACTGTATGCCCCCCTTCCCTCCCCGCTGAATAGTGTCCGGTACGATGATTCTACGTATGAATACCACCACATATTTCCACTTGCGGGGGTAAAACTAGAGGTCAAATCTCACCGGGGCCGACTAATCGTCTCACCTCTCCGGAGTCGGTTAAATGGCATCAGATCCGTCTCAGGGTATCGAATCACTACCTTTCACATATAGAAGCTTACCCCCGTTAGTCGTTCTATAGGCTATCACATCCAATTGCCGCTACGATTCTGAATGGATGTCGTATGCGCTGCGTATCCACGAAGGGAGGACGCTTAACCCCGAGCGCTCCAAATTTCGTCGTAAACGTAAACATTATCTCTACTGTAAGATACCCAGCAGCGGCACACGTTTCGATGGACTTGTCGAGCTGTGTGCGAATCTGGGACGTCACGCCAACGCACGCGGCCTCGCTTTTCCGCTGCTTTCAAAACCTCGACAATCGTACGAAGCAACGACTGCCCAACCGTAACCCGATCCTCTCTTCTGTCCTACCAGGGTCAAGAAAAATCGAACTCGTGCTAGAATCGCACTATTGAAGCGGATCTTGCTTAATATTAGTCTGCGCACTGGGGCATCTATGACAGACGCGCAGTCGCCGACTAGAATGGCGCAGCACCAGTTTCCTCAGGTACGGTTATGAACCTTAAACGTCGGTGAGTGAAAGCAACAGATCTGATGGCGATTCAATGATCAACCAACACTGATCGAAGTAGATCACAACCGGCGCCCTAAGCAATTTGAATCGAGCTTCGAGAAGTAGAGTGCACCCATTTACGCGGCTGGACAAGTTGCCTGCCTGGTATTTGTAAAACATTAAAGAGCTGTAACGTTTAAGCTGATGCCTACTTCAATTTGTCTTCTATTAGTGAAGTACTTACGGCTGCGGCGTAATTGGCTTAAATCTCGTAGCCGACTCCTTTGATCGAAAAGAGTAATTTTTTGCAACAGATCACGCTCAAGAACTGCTTGATCCCGATTCTCTAGCGTTTTTTCGCTGACGCGAGGGGAATGGAATCCTACTGAGGCGATTATTTACTTGAACTTGAGAGGAGTGGGTGAGAAAGAGGCAGAGCAGACAGACGATACAGTGTATTTCTAGAAATCTATGAGAGATCAGTCTTTAGCTCACACCATTTTTGATTCTACGCACCCGCATTAATTTGCATGAACAAGCTGTTGAAATATAATCTTTGTGGAACCCAGCACGCGTTATCCTGGGGAATAATGGATGTCGGTCTCACCGTGGACGCTTATGAAGCACATTTCTGGCTAGTTGCCTGGGGTTACTGTAGCGCATTAGCGTCAGATCGATTAGTTCGCGGATGGCTCACGTCGTATTTAATGTTCACGGCGCACGTTTACATAACCGCTGCGCTTTTAGGTCATTCTTCCTTCTTTTGCTACACGGGTCTCTTGAGATAGTCGCATGCACAACCACACAGAAAAAACCCAACTAAAAACCATGAACTTCTTTTGGGCAAATGAAATTGAATCAAGACAAGAAGTCGAAAGAGCTATCTGCAATTAACTATTAAGAGTTAGGAAAAGAAAAGTTCTGCAAACAGCGGCCTCACTAAAACTTTCTTTTCTAAAACAAATTTTATTAGGGAACATTTTGGCTAACAGATGGTAGATGCATTCTCTGACTCAATCCACGCAGGTGATCAGTGCTGCAGCCGGTAGTTATCCAAGAAAATTCAAAAAACCTCGACCACTAGTAAATCCATTCTCCGAGTCACTGTCTGGTACAAATGCCTCCATAACCATGGATTCTTGTCAAAGACCAACACTATCTGCAATAGCTTCAATAGGCATGTCGTTCACCGCTACAGCGTGTTTCACCTTTACCAGCGCTTTCGATCTTTTGATATTTTTCATAAGAAGCCAGCAGCGTCCCACACTCCATTACAGGTAGGGCTCTTACAGAAGCTCAACTACAAATTCTTCGTTATGGGCACCATTGTGTAGGTAGAGGTGTAGGCTGCGAAACTCCAGAAGCTGGCCGAGGCAGCTCTTCAGGAGCCCTCGTACCGCGACAATTATTCTATTTCTTCCATATGCATTGCGAATCCATCCACTTTTCGAAATGCACCCGGTTAGAAAATTCAGGAGATGAGCGGCAAGATTCTCCTTAACCTTATCTTATAGTATCTTCCTCTGATAAAGCTGTAAATGACCTGCACCTTAGTTCCGGATTTTTTGATCTATTTCGTCTTGATGACGAATAATAGATGATCAACATCTTTTCACAACTCGAAGCGAGGTATCCCTTCCTTTTCTTGAACCGCACTCCGCTGGTTTTGGAAAAGAGCATCAGGAAATTTCTGAGAGCGTTGAAGACAAGTGGTGGACACTCATGGTAGATATATGACCGGTCAGGAGTTGTAAACAAAAGATAAAATTGAAATCAAAAAATTGAAAAAGTGTTGCAGGACTTTCCAACTTAACACATCAACATCAGCCGTCTGTCTGTTCGCGCTGTCCCAATGAGGGGTCACAGATGAGGAAGGATCGCACTTTAGGTTGATAGGGGTTTACCATGTTTTGGGAAAAGAGCAATTGGTGGGTCGTATTTGTTTCGGGAGTTTTTCGGCAGTTCTGAAGGAAAACGTGGCGAGGGTTACAATTGGTTCGACTGTCTCAGACTTACCATAAAAACAGATTTTCATGACTGGCGGACGCGTGGTGAGTGAGAGGAGTTGATTGTATTGCTGAAAGCTTTTGTGGTAAGGTAAGCGCTGGTGCGGGTGAGTTGGGGGCCGAGTGGTCGGAAATCGGGACACCCCTGCAGGGTTACCTGATTTGTCACATTTGCCGCCCACCTCGACGTCCAGGCCTGATCATGTCGTAGTTATGAACAAGCGTTGTGTACCTTCTTGCGGTCTATGCTAACTCCTACTGTAGCTAGTAAATATACGGTACGCAATGCGTCCTTGTCAGTTTGCTAGAAAAGTAGCAAAATCAATCTATAGAAACCGAAATGTCGTTGTTCGTTTCAGTGCATGACGACGACTGAACCGCAGAGTTCGAAATGTGCTCGAGAAACCGCAGTGGTGACCGAAGGTGTTCTGCCGGTCACTCTTGAATGCGTGAACTGCTCGATATAAACGCCTTCTCATCATCTGTCACCTCATGTTGTGCCTTATACGCTCATTTCGCCTTGTTTTGCCAGCTCTAGCCATGTCTACGGATTCATAAAATACATTAAAAAATTTTCCATTCCACACTGCCCTTTCTCTAGTTCGCTAGTCTTGTATACACTCCGAAAAATGTTTCCATATCAAACGCCAGCTGCAAAGGTTTATTTGTGTTCTGTGACGAGACGTTTGTCTCCCAATATCTACCCTCTAATAACGAGTTGCTTTCTATTTTCTTTGTTAAGTATTCTTCTATTCTCATGAGTTTTCGGTTTTGTACTGATATTACGTTATCCGTTGATACAATCCAGGTTCTTCATGGTATTCCTCGATGCGAGTAATTTCCTCTCATTGTCAGTTCAATAAAAACTTCTATTAAGTGACTTATAGGCTAATATCTAGCAAACGAAGATATAAATAGAACTGGGTAGTCACGGGTTTCTGGAGGGGTTGCAATGGGTCGACAATGCCACGTGAAATTGGCCAGGTTGCTAGGCATCGTGGGCAACGAACAACCTTGGAATTTCCGAAGAAGTGTTTCAATATTACATGGCTCGACAGCTCGACTATCGGGCTAAAGTTGACGGCAGACTCCTCGATGCTGACGTTCTCTCGAGCACGGCTTGGATATCAGAAAGGTCGGTCTCCTAGTACAATGTTTTCAGTTGAGTGCTGAACAGCAATATTGAAAATTGGAGGCTTAATATACTCCGAATATCTAGGGGAGCAGAGTTTCCGATCAAACTCGAGCTGGTCCTTCGGCAAAAAAGCGTTGTCGAGCGGATTGAAATACTTGCTCATGATCTGCATATCCGTGAGTAGACATCCACTTTGAAGGCAGATTCCGTGATTACAAAGGTGCTATCCAAACCCTCCACGTTAGGGGACTTGTAATGGATTCGTGGCTGACGACGCAAGTAAGCGCTAAAAATCAGGGTTGGAACGCTTGGCGACCATGGTGCCCACCGGTGTGTACTAGACTGTCATCCGCGTGGGACAATGGTGCCCAGTGGTGAGTACCACCTTGAAACGTCTTATTTGCATATTCAGGATTTTTTTTTAACATAACGGCAATTATTAGCACGCCTCATAGTAAGTGTAGTACAGGTCTCAGCAATCTCCCACTTGGAATATTTCTAAATTTTTATAAGTCACGTAGTTCGTCCTTATCTAGTACTTATTTCGGGTGTAGCATTCCTATTTCTGATGCCTCTAATGATTTGACGCTCTTCACCTACTAAATTAACTACGTGCTCACGTCCTTCATTTTATTATGCACCTCCCATGGAATCTCTTGTCCTCTCTACCTCTGCTTAAGAAGCGATTATCGGTTCGAGGAAGCGCACAGGGGCGCTATGCAACACGAGTGCTACTTAGGCTGCTCGGTTTACAATGACGAGTCTAACGATAGGCTATTTCAAGGAGGTTTTATAGACGGTGGTGCTCAGTGGTACGCCAGTGGCGAAAAAAGCAGAAAAAATCCGTCAAGAAAACGCAAAACGGGACCCCTTTTTTGGCCGTTGGTTTTCACTCATGAACAGGTAACAGCTCAGAAAGCGGACGTATGAACGAGTTCACCGCAACGCGTTTGGTGGCACCATGCCAAACCACGCTCCAATCGAGTTGCTCCAGTTGTGCCGCTGCTGGCAACGCAGCTCGTCCAAATCACCAAGTAAACTAGTGGGCGGATCGCTTTTGGGGGCGGAGTGCTTTCGAAGTCCTGCTCAGCAACCAGCGCACCTTTCGTCGTGAAAGCGCCACACCTCGCTTCCTTGGCAGCCAAGTAACTGATTCGTGTGGTGCATATGCTTCCCCGATGCGCTCCCTCTTTATCGTAATCGCTGTTTTAAGCAGAGGGTGAGGGGCAAGTCATTCTGTTCTACTCCATCGGCGCGGCTCCCGTAAGGGTAGCCTTATCCTTGGCAGAGGCAACTCCATGTAAGTACCTACGGATTAGGGAAACCACTAAAAATAATTATACAAGTTATAATCAATGTATTTCAGGCCTGAAGAAGGTGTTATACACCGAAATATCGCGGAAGTTTCCAAAGGAATTCTTTTAAATTTTTGGCTTGTTTTTTGGAGTATTTGGACTTTTGTGAACTTTTGGAATTCTTTTGGAATAAAACTTTTGGAGCTTCTCTGTGTTAAACAAATTTAGGTCCTGATGAGGCTCCGGGACAGCACAATACTAGAGAAATTTAGAAATATTACATACAAAAATTTGAGAGTGCCTTCGTAAGGCTCCCCATCAGTGCTTCTTGTAGAGACAACAACCCATGAAATTTTGGGGAATTTTACCAATTTTTCAAAAAGTGCCCTATAACCTGCTCTTTATCTCTTACAAAGACACAGCATCCATGTTCACCATGTCCATTTTATCAGACGGCACCCTAGAAATATCGAGTATGATCAGGAATGTAAAGCTGAGTGCGTGCCAGCGCTTGCCTGCTCAAGTGCATAAATCTGAGAACTCTGTCTGATGCTAAGGACAAATCGTTGACTAACGGCAAATACGTGCCGGCCCAGAACGTTCACCACTGTTTTCCAGGGTTTTAGTCCAATTTTTGATCCTAATAACCCCAAAGCTGATTTTCCAGTTCCATCCATATTTTCGCTTGTTTGCGTTATCACGAAAACATTTTTTTTATCACGGAAACTGCTTTCGAAAGAAAAAAGGACGTATTGGTAGTTACATGAATCAGTGCATTGATCAAAACGATCATGTTTTCATTTTCAGCTCAGCGAATAGCAATAGCGACATCGGATCGCGAACTGGGTGCATCCGAGAAAAAGTTGGGGTAAGTGATCGAAACCATCCAGTCGGCCTAACCGATAAATTAGTGCCATTCTACGAAGTATCTGAAGTAACACACGTCGATCACTCAGTTCTGGTTTCGATTCAAAGAGAACGCTATATATAGCACTTCCACTGCTTAAGCATAACTCGCGGGATTTAACTGGGTGCCTGTGACGCCGCTTCATTAGTGTTAGCTTCAGCTGCTATAGTGGCCTAAAGTGGAAGGAAAGCAAGAAAAATCTTTGGGACGCTGTAAGTGGCCTTCTGTACTGAGGCTCGCCCTTCAATATGGTCAGATGCGGCACGATGGCGAGACAAGGCGATCAAAAAAGGAAAAATGCACGAGAGAGCACGTCGTTTGGGAGAGCACGCTGATCTCTACATCAGTGCAAGCTGATCTCACTATCTCTTGCTGTGGGTGGGAAGGGTTGGAACCTGGGTCGATGGTTGCAGGCCCGTAAGGATTAGACGCCCTAAACGCCTAATTTTTGCGAGAAGCTGGAGTGATCTAGGTAGGTAAGGACCTTCAGCGGTATCCTTCCTACTGGTCAGGCTAAGCGAGACTTGGCCTTCATAAAGCTAAGGGGTTTGGATAACATTGGGTTGTATCCGTGGCGAGCCGGGAGGAAGGGAAATGTCTCGAAGATAAGAGCACGCGACCTGTCGGAGAGCCCCAAGCGAAAGAAATATCGCGTCAGGTAACGCGCAATCATGAACCTCTTTTTCGCGCCGGACTGACTCGCCGACTGATATGGAGCGAGTCCAGCGTACCAACTAGGGAGGCAGCCGATGTTGGCAGGCGCATGCGCGCGAAGACCGAATAAGCCATGTTTCGCTGTCCTTGTGGCGCCCCGACTACTACCCGCTGCGGTCACTGCTGCAATAGTGACGCGAGGTGGGGGGCTTCACCTTTACTTCACGGTCGTGCACACAATTTATAACGTCCACTGCGCTCCGCTTGAAAGGCAGATTTCCAACAACCCTGATGAATCAGTGCCATTGGCAATCAACCCAAAGATGAGAAACTAAAATAACACAAAACCCCCAGAACTCAAAGAATTATCCCGCTCTCGCGCCCCTGCCTGTTGACTTTCCCGATTGATGCGCGACCATTCATTCGGTGCTGCCCTCTTCAAACTCGCCCCACGCTCTCCATCGCCTCTGAACTACCTCATGCTACAACGCTCAGAGGCTACAGACAGGAGAGCGGTGTTGCGAATTGCCCGACCCGATAGGCGCGCCATTACGTCGGACCGTCGTGGAAGGCACACGCTTGAGTTGGCCGACGCGGGCACCCTTTTGATGCGCCTGTGTGTCTGTTCGCACTTTTCGGTAAAGTCTCCGCTTGCCTACCGGGTAAGTTGCCCCTTCTTTTGGGCCTTCGTTCTTATTGGCGACCCAATCTATGTCCTCAGGTCTGCAGTCCTACTTTTAGACTCACACAGCACCACACACGAGCAGACCGCAACTAGAGTTAGGATCCGAGTGCTTAGTGGGCGATAATTCCGCCCCCGCCATAAATTTAAGACAGCCTTGACGCAGAGTATAGCGAGCGATCATGTCCGCCACTACACATTGCAATTGCTGTTTATTTTTTAACATGCTTATTTTCTTCTCAATATTATTCCTTGTTTATAGCGAAGTGATATTCAAATCCAGTTTCGAAGCAAGCGGTCAATTGAGAACTATATACGTCGATGTCGTCTGCACTGCCGTTCTTTTATATGTCAGTGAAGCGCATAAAGAGGAGATTGCCAATCCATTCAACCAGGTACAATTAACGCCTTAATGTTGATCCAAAAGATCACCCCTTTGATCGCTTTGTTGTGATTGTAATAACTGCTGGATAATACCACCATCGTACGCCACTATGGAGATGATGCCGTCGCACTCGAATTGCTCTTAAGATTCTCATGTTACCCTTAGTAGTATACTGGACAAATTCTACACGGCTGTAGTGCTGGCTCCTCGCAGCTGTCGGCGGGACGGCAGCTCGCTGACTTCTTCTGCGCGTGGCGATATGGAGTAAGTATTATCAAAAATGAAGCCTCCTCGTTCAAGACAGTGACGGTATTCGAATGTGGCTTACGACAAAATAAAAAAATTCAAAGCAATGAAATGCCACACGTTTAAAAACGCCACTGTTCTTTTTCAAACAGCTATCCCTTTA